ACAAGAGTTCTGACTGGAATGTCGCTTTTCCATTCAGAATTTTGTTTGCTTACCTATCTCCGCTAGCAGGAGGGCTATGTCGGATGTCACCCAGATTGCAGGACCGTTCGCCGTACGTTTCCTGCCAAGATTCAGGCATAAACCACGAGTGGCACAAGAAAAGTAGGGTTTTTAATCTTTTACTTGAGGAGGTCGTGACACTATTGTCATGGTTTTTGCAGGAAACAACAAGTTCGCGAAATAGCTGTCGTACGGCCGCATGATCTCACCACGGTAAGTGAAAGAACCTCGTACATCTTCTCCTCTCCAATAGCAAAGAAAAAATATGTCAGGTACACGATTTCTTAGCAGCCCTTATCTCCAGAGAGCAAGTCGTGCAGAATAGGCCTCTGGTAAGGTTGAATTATTGTTTAACGGTAGAAAACCACTGAAGCATTGCTTTTAACCGTATTCATATAACAGATTTAGATAGCATGGGAGTCGGTGAAGAAGCGCTACCATACCATGATGACGGAATCGAGTAGCCCAGATAAAGATCTGCATGACCAATACCATATCGATTTAGGCTTTTTCAAAGAAGTTATGGACGAGCAAGTGAGTCACATAATCACATCTGCTTTGCTTTTTCTTCTGTCCGTTGTAGGCCATAGGCTGCTTTTTGTAGGTTCTTGAAGTGTGGACGGGGCAGAAGTCTGTCATTGACGTCCTGTCCTTGCCTGAATTTAGCGACATGAATTGTGTGCGGGAGCCGAATCCTCCATATGATCTAATGATAATGATGAACGCCAGAGAAAGTCAGTTTTCACCGAATCTATTCAAGTACGCGCCGCCGTTGTATTTCAGACCATCAGCGATGTAGTTCAGTTGGTACAGAAACAGAAGAATGTGAGCAGCCAAACCCTAATGTAAAGTCTCCGATCAAGCCCAAAAACTTATCATTGAATTTTGTGCTCAAAGAGGTAAGAAACGATGATATAAGGCTTATTCTCAAAATTTTTATGAAACTTCGTATACTTGCTGTCTGAGCGTTTGACGGTCACGTCGGATCTGCATCGGTAGCTTCTAAGCACACAACCGATCGAGTTTTTGCGCTAGAAAGTTTGTGTGATCCTGTTGCAACTGTGCCACTACCAACATCAGCTTGTCTTAGAAATTTGCGTTTGCAAAAGATCAGTAAAACTTTTTGAATAGTGCAGTATAGAAACCCCTTGTGGAACGACCTAGCCCAATCCCATTTCTTCGATAGCTATGGTTCTGACAAGGAAAGCCATTTCAGTCGCGATGGCCTTTCCACATGAGACCTATATCACTTTGTAGACCATTGAACGCCAATTCCAAGTCTGCTCTTCTTTGCGGAACAACTCAAGAATACAAGAAGTTCAGTTCAAGAAGCGAATGCTTATATTCCCCATTTGTCCTGCTATAACTGGCACAACATTATCAAAAACCGTACAACAACAGTTGAAAGTAGATAATCGAGTATATCAAGTACATTGACTACAAGGAAGAAGCACAGCCTTGGAAGTCTGCATAGGTGTTTTTGTGCAATTTTTCGCTACTCTAAAGTCTCACAGATAAGTCCTCCCATCAATTAGTCCGCCTACAGATAAGTCTGGAATTATCTGACAGTCTTCGGACTTTCTGCCTATTATAATTACCTTGAGATCTTTTCAGATAAGTCCGAAGACTGTCAGTAGGTCTGGAGTTATCTGCAGACGGATGGAAGAAATCTGCAGGATTCTTGGCGGCGCAAGCGTGCATTTCCATC